ACCATTTTTATCATTTTTATATGCCTTAATTCGTGAATTCGTTATTGGCGCGTTTCACCATCAGTGTGCAATGCGCGTGACGTCTACGTTCGTCAATAAATAAACTGCACGTATCTTGCGGAAGAACATTGTAGACGGAACTTCTCTCCGTTAATGTCTATGGCGAGTCACGCAGGCACTGGGCTACTCCGCAGTCGAGACGACCCCGTGATAAAATACTCCGAATATAAACACTTATTATAGGCGTACCGTAGTGATTCAGAATAAGTCAAAAACACGGTTTGGAAAATGGATTCATGATGTAGCCTACTCGTTCATTTTGAACATAAGTTACGGACTGCAGCAGCTGATACAACGGCGTTCTGTTGCTCAAGCGTCCACTCGCACAAATGCGACCACATAACATTTTAACTCACACATTCTCAAAAAATGGTCGCATATGCGACCAATTTGGTCGCAGTCTGGAACCCTGCATACTCTGATGTTGAAAAGACTGTTACAAATATTCAAATGATCACAGTAGAACTGGGATAAAAGTTTACAGTTCAGATATAAACACTGATGTCTACAGTAGTGATCAAAGTAGAGCAAGTCATCTTTTGTTGAACTTGGCACTTCAAATAACTATCATTACATCGTTACACCAGTAGGTGGCGACAAGTGACTGAATGATTCATTGACAAATAAATTTAACATTCAAGTGATTCATTCAAAAACGCTGATTCATCCAGTAATGAAACAAGTATTTATGAGTGAGTCATTAAATCAAACATTCAAACCGTTTTTATTTTTTATAATTAAACATTTTTTCAATAGACTGCAGCAATTAACATTTTGTCAGAACCTCTAGTAAATGACATGATATTTTGTTTAGTTGTCTGTTCAGAATCGGGATCTCTATTTGAAACAAAAAATTGTCATTCTCAATTTATCCAGAATCGTACAGCTCTACTAAGTGGTGTCTTAAATTGTTCTGGTTCATACTGTCAGAATCTAATATTTTGAGGCACGCAACCCACTCTCTCCTCATCATCCACCGTTGTACTGGTGAATCCTAAGGCAAGATATGCCTCGTCATATTTTCTTGTCTTAAGGCTGTCTTCACTGTACGCGACAAAGCTAGCGTTGGAAATTCGTTCGTCCTTTTGTGTCAGAAGTTGCGTGAGTGCTTGGAGGACGTCAGAAATAGGACGGCATCAGTTTACTGTCGAGAATTTGTCGTGTTGCGTCACCACGCTGCATCCAGTGTCGACAGCATCACTGATTATAATGGGTTCTATTCAGTGGTGTAGTCCAGTTCCCCCCCCCCCCCCCCCCCCCTTCTTTCACAAAACTAAGTTGTTACGTATACTCGCGCTTTTTAAGTGGGTATATGGAAATCCTTGGCCTTTCCTAGTGGGTCTACGGCAGGGGTCTCCAACCTTTTTTCATTTGTGAGCTACTTTTTAAAAATGAAAGTGGCCAAGAGCTACTCATGTAATACAATACTTAAATCTCCTAAATAATGTCTCATAACTCATATTAACAGCTATTCAAACTGTTTTAGACCTAAAAGAGTTTTTTTAGGCCTATATATGTCACCCTTAAATGTCAGAGAAAAGAACAGAATCAGAGATTAATTTTTTTTATAGAAAATTGTACTTTGCCTATTATACTGTAAACACATAATTATAGTTGATTTTATAGTGCATCATAACTAGAGATGAAATGGCATGAAAATTTCCTTTCATGATTATAGTGACCAAAATGAACACGGTTATCACAGAATCCTGTTAAAAAAATACTACTAAATAAAATCAATTCACCAAGTTATATGTCGAAAACCAGCAAATAACAAAAAAATAGCATCGATATGCTCTTTTTGTTTAAATAAACATTAAAATAATAACATTAAAAATGATGGCCAGATTTTAAAGGAGTGTCTTGCAACATGTTATCTACTAAGTTCAAATAAAGTTTTGACAAAAAAGGTTTTATAAAAAGATAAACCTCACATATTTCAGCCTTTAAATCATTTTTATGAAAAGAATGAGTAAAAAAAGATAAATTACAGACATTTACAATGCACATTAGCTTATCTTTTATTATTAATAGTAAAATTCATGTTGACTGAGCTTTCAATGTTGTTACGGAAAGGGTGAAGCTGATTGGTTGGATCTGGTCACATGACCTGCGGTGCGCTCGCGGCATTCTGAAAAGTTGGTGTTTTCATCTCGCTGCGCCTGGAAAAAATGAGCGCGTCGCTTCAATTATGAGCGCGCTTGCCCAAGCGCCTACATTTGAAATAACGAACTTGAGCGCGCAAAAGACGCGATATGTGAACGGCCCCTTGGCGAGCTACTTCCAATCAGGCCACGAGCTACTGGTAGCTCGCGAGCGACGTGTTGGAGACCCCTGGTCTACGGCATATACCTGTGTAACACGTAGACTACACCACTGGTTCTATTTGCTTTTGTCGTGTCGCGTCACACCATTCACTTCTGGACGTGTTGTTTCTTGTATCACCCTGAAGAGGTTTCTTTTGCATAATCTGCTTACTATACACTATGCCTTGTCCTTGCCGTGCCCACAAGTTTTGGAACTACTGCACTAAAGAAAGTTAAACATGTAAAAAAGCATAATAGGACCCCTTTAAGAGTTGTTTCATTGAAGACTTGTTCATAACTCATGTATTGTGGTTTGAAGGTGTTTGTCCAGCAGAGGTCTCCCCAAAAACCAAGATCGTCTTGGCTCCCACCACCACTTCTTCCAACCGTCGAAGCTCAGGGAGAAACCTAGGTGTCCATGAGCTGTCAGCCTGTGAGCTGCTCACTGTGGACCTGGTCAGACATGAGGACAGCTGGCCCTTCAAGAAACTGGTGACCAGAACTCAGGTAGTGAGCCAATCACACTTATATCCCTCTGTAACAGGGTCATAAAACCCATTCATGGTTGATTTATGACCAGCGGGACTCTTAAATAATCTATGCAATTGTTATGCATGACATCTTGCTATCCCAGCTTTACACTGAGACATTATTTTCATGTATTTAATGACTACTTTTATTGCACATATTTTTTTAGGTGCCCGATTACTATGACATAATCAAAAAACCCATCGCCTTGAGCACAATCAGGGAAAAGGTCAACAACTGTGAATACCAAACTGTTGGTAAGTTAACTTATTTTTTTGTGGAAGGAAGGTTTAAATCTAAATATTTTGGTAGAGTCAGGCTAGTTGTCTAAAGGTCCATTTTTAACTGTTGAGTCAAATTAACCTAGTTCAAAACCCACTTAAAATTAGAAAAAAAAAATTAATGTGAATTGTATGAATCCTGTTTAAAATACTCTAAACTCAAACCCAAATAAAAGCGTAATTGCCTGTTTCATGGTTGGTTCCATGTTCTTGTGTACACATTGACAACAGAAATGTCTACTTGAGTAAATGGCATGTCAACATAAGCCCCAGACTCTATATTAACATTTAATAATCATATCCAAGCACAACATAAGTCACTGCCGATAGTAATTTCTAATTGTGTTTTTAATCTTACAGCGGAATATATAGAGGATGTGGAGCTCATGTTTTCCAACTGTCTGGAGTACAACCCACGTACCACCAATGAAGCAAAAGCCGGTCAACGGCTCCAGGCCTTCTTCCATTCTGAGCTTCGGAGACTCGGCCTGGCTGACCGCATGACCCCTCCACAGAAACGGCCACGGATGTAAACACAACCCCGTCTTCCACACAAACACACCAACTGGCCAAGACTGAAAGTCCGTTCATAATTCGCTGTCTAATTATGTAGTTCTGTGGCATTTGTGGAATGTTCATAAACATTCCAGGATGGTTTGACTCAATAAAAATTCTACCTAGCCCTTGTACACAAGAAAATGTATTTGCTAAAGTGCAGTGTGCAAACAAAAAGGCATGCTGAAGGATATCAAGCGGCATTTATCTTCACAGCTAGTGACAGGAGTGTAAATCGGCCCTTAATCCTATGGAGCAAAGTGGAGAAACTGCTGTGAAGAAAAAAAATATTTGCACTGTTTTCTGAAAAGTTTTTTGCGTTCACATTTAACTCAGGACAAAATGCATGGTGTATTTTTGTCTGATTTCAAAATGGTGCATTTTGGTTTTTTGTACATCAACTGCATTTGTAGACTACTATTTTGTATAGCTTTTTACAGACCGAGTCTCTGTTGTGACTATAAATTAAGTCAAAGGAAAAAATAGAATTTTTTGTTTTGTAGTTAAATAGTTGTAAAGATAAACTCAGATATTTCGGTGTGGTCCCTATAGCTTGCTTAAACACTACGTAGGAACCAGACCATCCCTTTTTGTTGTTTTCCTTTTCAGTTTTTGGTTATTTATTTAGATTTGGGTATAATTTGCTTGCTTTATTTATAAGATTGTCATAGTTTTTTTTGTTTTTTTGTTTTTCTCCCTCAGAAAGCTTGATGAATCAGTTTTCCCCTCATGGTTCTTAAGATTCATTTTACCTGCTGTGTAATTCTTTTTTCTGTATGTAAAATAAATTTTGTTAATATTTGGCTTGACCAATCGTTTTCATCACCGATTTTCATTTTTGCACAAAATTGTATACGTTGAGCAGAAGCCTCAGTTGGGTGCACTTTCAATGACGATTGTCCAGTATAACTTTTAATTTGCTTTAGGTTATTTGAAAGTTTTTTCAACAGACCATCAGTTAATGTGCCTCCAACTAGTTTGCAGCCATTGAAAACCTGACAGTAATAGAGGTAATTTAGTCATGAAAAGATCTCTAGTGAATTCAAATTTTTCTAATTATTCTGGTCTATAATGTCATCTGATAGATTTTGCTCTAGTGTAGAGTACAACTTCTATTATGTAACGTTTATGATTTTTTTGATTTTTGATTAGGCTATTTTTAAGTGACTGCTGTAATTCACATTTATGATATCTCTTGCCAACTGTCCCAAAGACAGTGAATGACAGTGCATATGCTCGAGCAGTCCTTTACTGCGGCTGTGCAGTGATGTCTGTCTCTCTCTCTCTCTCTCTCTCTCTCTCTCTCTCTCTCACACACTCACACTGACACTGTCTCGGCTGTTCACATTCACAGATAGAAGTACCAAGAAAATAATCGTTCATTGATTCATCGCATCGGACAGCATGGTAAGGACAGGCTTTTTCCACACACGTAGTCAATTCTTAATTCATAACAGATGTTATAATGTTATTTCGAAACTCTTTCTGTCAAACTTTTGACCAGCGACTGTCACGTTTTCATCTCTGGCAGGATCTGTATTGCGGCGCTGTGGCGCTCTAGCGGATCCGTGATTGCATGCGCTCCGGCTGAAAAATGTAATGCTTTATTCGGCTCCAAGTTTATTTTATGGTTTCTGAAATCGATTTTAATTAGCTATAAATCTATATATCAGGCCTATAGTCAGAGGCAGCCATTTTAAGCTAATTTTAGCCGGTGCTTTAATCACTCAGCGCATGCCTCTCCAACTTTTACTCACGGACGCTGGAGAAATAAATGACCGGGACTATACTGATGGACACAAACGCGTATAATCAGATCTGAATGAGCTGTTTCATGCCATGAGACGACTATTATGTGTCCTTACAATTGAATTAGGCTACTTATGATTCAATAGGATTTAGTGGCCATAGTGTGTGTGTGTTTGAGAGAGAGAGAGAGAGAGAGAGAGAGAGAGAGAGAGAGAGAGAGAGAGAGAGAGAGAGAGAGAGAGAGAGAGAGAGAGAGAGTCGGACGTCTACACCAGCTGCTCAGAGCGCGTCTCTGCGCATGCGGAACTAGTACTTTAGATACTTGTATTTTACAATAGTTGGTAGTATTTATTAAATATTAAATAGATACAAAAATAATAATTAGTTACTAGTAAATGTGGAGTAGGAACTAAGGAGCTACTTGATATCTGATTGACACAACTCCATTGCACATAACTGCTTAAAAATTGCCATTACTAGCAAGTTATGCTATGTTTTACAGTAAAATATCTAAACATTCTTAAATCAAGATACATTTGCTTGAGAAACAAGACTTAATATTTTTAGTATCATAAAAATATCTTAGTAAGGTAAGAAAAATAATCTTGTTTCCGCTTCGAATCGTTTATTTACCTGACCCCACTACCAGATTTTTATTTAACCTCATATTAATTTTACTTATTTAAAAAACAAACTCACTTAATTTTGGTAATTGTTTCAGAAAACAAGACTTGACGTCTTACGCCATTTTGCATATGTTGATTTAAGAATGTTTTACATATTTGTACTAAAAAAAACAAGACAAATACTGAGAAAACCATTTTTTTCATTGCAGTGCGATTAGAATAGTTAACAGTAACCGGAGAATAGGTAGTACAAGTATCTTAAGTTCTGATAATTATTTGAATCTATAGTAGTAATCAGCATTGCTTCCGAATATCTTGTTTTAAAATATTTAATAGTCCTCTAATAATATCTAATAAGTGCTATATTCAATAATTACCAGTAAAACTAGATAAGTCAGTATAAGAATAGTTGCTAGCAGGTAAAAATACATGGTAATAAGTTAGTTACCAGTACGTTTTAAGGAATAAATCTTAAAATGGCATGATGTGGGTAGTGTAGAGAGAGATGTTCATAAACGTCAAGCACTGGTTTGCTCGAATGGATTAATGCACTGCGTTTCAACCTTCCGAGGGCCCCGTTTGTTTTGAGGGTGAAGTATCATTGATCATGAATCCAAATGTCTTTAATAAGTCCCAGGAGGAGCTCTCATAGTTGTACCGTGGCCCAGGCACCCCACTATGACTTGGCCTTCCAGTCCATTTTGGAACGGGAGTGAGAGATTTGAACTGTGGTGACAGACCAGCTGGCTATGCGCAGCACGTACGTGACTCGTGAGTCAGGGTTTGTGAGCGGCACTGGATCAGTCAATGCCAAATCTGACGCCTTGTTACTTCTAATATTGTCCGGTTGTTATTTTTTACTATGGATATGTATTATGATGCTGGTGATTCTGCTACTGACATCCAAGTATGGATCTACAGACTTGTATAATTGCTCTTTTCATCTCAATCAACTTACTGTATTCACCCCAGTCTCATCCTCATCACAGGCCTCTGGTGTCACAGTCAATGATGAAGTGCTCAAAGTCTTCAATGACATGAAAGTGCGGAAGTCCTCGGGCTCAGACGAGGTGAAAAAGCGCAAAAAGGCAGTGCTGTTCTGCCTCAGCGACGACAAGAAGAAGATCATCGTAGAGGAGGGCAAGCAGATCTTAGTGGGAGACATTGGAGAATCTGTCGACGACCCCTACGCCTGCTTCGTCAAGCTCCTGCCTCTTAATGACTGCAGATACGGCTTATATGATGCCACTTACGAAACGAAAGAGTCTAAGAAAGAAGACTTGGTATTTATATTTTGGTACGTAGTCTGTCTGGAAAGGTTGTTATAGTTTAGAAAAATGATTCAGATTTCAGATTTATTTTGTATATATTTATGCATTTATCTATTTATTCACACATTTATTTATGCATTCATCTATTTATTCACACATTTATTTATGCATTTATCTATTTATTCACACATTTATTTATGCATTTATCTATTTATTCACACATTTATTTATGCATTTTTTTAATTTAGTTCATTTTGAAATTTTTAGAACGTTTTAGAATTTTTTATTTAAAATTTTAGAATTTTGATTTTATTAAGTTAAATTTATATCTTTGGAAAAGCACTGTTATCTCTTATACCTTGCTTGATCAACAAGCGAACTGCGATTAGGTTATTTTATGTCATTTTTATATGTGAATCTTATTGAATTTTTTTTTTGATAGAATACACTGAAGACAGACCATCCAACATTGGTTGACAGTCATTTTATATTTTTAATTTATTAATTGTATTTTAGTCAGTTAGTAATTTACTTCTGTTACAACTTGCTGTTTGTTTCTAATGAACTCTGCAATACTTTGTTAAAAGTTCTTACACTAAGTCAATTAATTTCTATTTTTTGTTTGCATGCATATTGAACATTGTTATTTTGACTTTAGGGCCCCTGAAGGTGCGCCGTTAAAAAGCAAGATGATATATGCTAGCTCAAAAGATGCCATTAAGAAGAAGTTTACAGGTGAGTGCTGTCATATTCACTAATAATGCACCTTTGCAAAACAGATCCTGAGTTCTGCATGCTTATTGGCAATACAGTCTTCCAGGAAATGCGCAATATAGTAACAGCCATATATATACACACTTAGATGCCTCATTAATGTCTGTTTCTATGGGCTGCAATACGGTCAAATCCTGTCTGTGTGGATCAGCAACTAGTTATTCAGATGTTTGAATATCTATATCTGCAATAGACATTAGCAGATTATTTGGTTACACTTTATTTTAAGGTGTCAAGTGTTACAGTGTAATTATACATTTAAGTACTGAGTAGTAATAATAATTAACTACTTGTAATAACTATAGGGTCAGGGTTAAGATTACGGTTAGGGTGTGGTTTAGAGTTAGTTGCATGTAATTATGCTTAATTTATAGTAATTACTATAGCAACAAAGACACTGTAAAATGACTGCATCGCATGAAATCGCATACTTGGCTTCTGCAAGCAACCATTGGCTGCATCCGCATACTTCCCTACTATATAGACGAAAAACAGTATGTGACAAAAGAAGCATGTCTGAATTCACTGCACTCATAAAAAAAAGTTAGAATAGTAATAGAATGTAGTTAAAATGTGCCCGGATGACCTACTACTTCCGGAGGGATTCTGAAGTGTGCATAAGATGGGCACTTTACTTTAAGAAAGCATTTGAATTCGCCACTTAAGTAATAACATCGCTGCGAGATCTAGTGAGAAACATTCGCAATTCTCCGTTATTAACGGGTCAAACAGCGCTGACGTGGAAACCAGGAAGAAACATTGTGCCATGAATGAACTATCCGGTGTCCACAGATCAGCAACATTCACCATGAGTTTACTGTAGTAACACTAAGTGTAACCATGGAAGTTTGACAGGAATAGTAGGCTATAATGCTTTCAAGTAACATAACGTCGGTTTTATTTTGACATTATGAATACAATTGCTGCCCTCAAATGTTAATCTGAACTAAAATAAACCTTTGTTTATAACTACTACAATATTACATTTCATTTTGTCCAAGGTGCTGTTTTGTTTTATAAGCTCCTAAGAAAAGTCAAGTATAGCTCCATCATTGCTCAAATGTAAAAAATATCATACTTTATGATGTTAGTTTTAATAAAAATATAATTAAAAAAAATAAATCAAGGAAATTTCTCTGGCATTTCTTTCTTTTTGCTGTATCGGAAACGTACCGAACCGAACCGTGACACAAGTGTATCGTATCGAACCGAACCGTGAATTTTGTGAACCGTTACACCCCAAATATTAGGGCTGCAACAAACGATTATTTTGATAATCGATTAATCTAACGATTATTAGAACGATTAATCGACTAATCGTCGATTATTTCGCAGACTAATCAGTAAGTTTGGAACGATTATTCAGCTTTTCCAATTAGTTAAAACATTGAGTTATACATATTCTAACTATAATATAAAAAAAGAAAATCACTTCAGCTTTTGAAATAGTTGTTTTAATGAACTTTGAGCCAACTAAACAGGTCATTCTCTTTAAGTTTTCAGATTTCGGTCCAACTCAAATCACACACAAATGCTCTCTAAGCATTGTTTAATAGGCCCACTGCTTTTCTTAGAACTGAAACAGAAAAAGGGACATTTACTTCAGGACACAAAGAATGGTAAAATATTAATCTGCAAACAATTATTATAATTATAAAATTACAATCTTTTTTTACATGACAATTGAGCTGACAGAGACGTTCTCATTCACCTTTTAATTTATAGTATGATAAAGTAACTGCCATGATATTCTTCCTATATCATAGGAAGGATATAACATCTCGTTTTGTAAGTCTTCATGATTATTGAACAAAATACAGGCAAGTGATAAAATACCTAATATACTAATAGTGTTAAAATAATAAAAACAGCCCTGACTCCTAAGCTCGATCAAGCTTTATTCTATACAAAATAAGTCATCACATTACTGTAATTATATTACTATTGATAATATTATTACTATTATTAGTAGTATTGCATTCTCTAATAAAGAGAGATTTGCCGCTGGTTAGTAGGCTAACTTAAGCTCCAGCTGGAGAACACTCACTTCTCACCGGCTCCTCTTTTCCCGGGATGTTTCCTCTTGCACCCCAACATGCATGTTGTGCTCCCGTGAAAATTGCACACGACAGCATTCTTGATTTAAAGTTTTGTGAAACTTTCCCAAACCTAAACCTTGCTAGTTCGGATTCGTTTGCACTGTCATAATTCGCGCTGTTTTCTCTTCTACCGCAATAGCATTTGTAAGGGCTGCACTGCACTCTAGCGCTACAGCGCCGTAGCGGTCAAATCGCGGGATTGCAGGCCCTTACATTAGGTCACGTGAGATCAAACGACTACTCGACAACAAAGATATTTGTCGACAAATTTTTATTGTCGACGTTGTCGACAACGTCGACTAATCGTTGCAGCCCTACCAAATATATATATATATATATAAATTTTAACTAAACTAATGCCTAAATCAAATTTTTTTCAATTTTACATCCTTTAGCCATGACTTTCTTTCCCAGTTTACTATACATAGACTAAGAAGTAAGTCATTTGTAGCTTGATTTCGAAAACTACAAACACTGAGCAACAGCGCTGGAGAATCCCGACCAGCTGGACACAACAACACTGGCTCAAACATGTTATGCAAGTAATTGCATTTTGATGAAAGATTTTTGCACTGAAGAATCGTTCACAGAAGTTAATATTCAAATAAAAACACCACAGTGGGAAAATAACTGAGAGTCATTTCTAAAATGAAAATGTTTTTATTAATACATACTTATTTTGAAATCTTATGCAATCGTGCCTCTTTTTTCAGGTATCAAACACGAATGGCAGGTTAATGGTTTAGACGACATTCAGGACCGCTCCACCCTGGCAGAGAAGTTGGGAGGAAGTGTGGTCGTATCGCTGGAGGGGAGACCGTTGTAAACCCAACAGCCATGTGCCATCTGGATTCCACACGCTTTCATCTTAGCAGCTGTCTCTATCATTTGATCCTGAAGGAATAGTCCTAGTTTGTCTTTATTCCCTTTTCTTTTCTTTTCTTTTTTTCACATTAAGGAGATCTCATTAACATATGCAAAAAACAAACAAAAAAACTCTACCAGCTGAATGCCAGCTTAATTTTGCAGTTCATATTAGTTTTTGTATGTCCCCAAAGAACGTTCTGTCTCCCTCTGTGTGTTTTGCCAAACGACAGTAGAAAGCTCGGATGTTCACATATATTAACCAGCACAAACTCAGTTGATATCTTCATCATGTATCTTCAGAGGTATTCTATTATGCTGTCAGAGAACTATATGAGAATGCTGTATGTTAATGCCTCACAGCAATGCATTAACCAGTGACAAGCACTTTACAAGCCTGAAGCTATTTATTTCAACTCTTCTACCTAATCTGGCTTATTTGACATGGCAAACACGTCAAGTTTATGCAGATAAACAAAGCACTTTTCGTTTTACACTACCAGTTGAAGGAGGACTTTCTGTCTGGAATTTCTGTCTGTCAACCCGGAATTGAAGTTACCACAGTTTTCATTCCTGTTACGCATAAGGACATAAACAGATGGGGTTTGAACTGTTGATTCAAATGCACCACAGAACGCGAAGGCCGAGATGCTTGGAATGTTTTGTTTTTTTAACACTACATGAAAATACAATATTATCTGTAATGATGGCATTATTTGCAGCCTGAAGTGAAACATTGTTTTTGAGATCGGGGAAGGTGCCACTTTGAAATAAAATATTGTGGCGGAATTCTTGGATGGATTTCTTGGCTCAATTAAACGGTCTGATTTCATTAGAGTGTCACCTCAATGACCTGTGCTATATGTCTGGCCTGTGTGTGTTTAGTCATCAGAATTGCCTAATGGAACGAGTTGTTTAATGAAAAGATAAGCAGAATTTTATTAATTCATATTTATTAACTATTATTTTAATTATCAAAGTCACGGATAACCTGTAAAGATTTTTAAGCAAAGACTATCGTTCTGTCTATTCATCCATCCATCTATCTATCATTTGTTCTATCTCCATCTATTCTATCACTGTATCTGAATATTGTTATATCTATTGTTCTGTTCATCGTTCTATCCATCCTCTATTGGTCATTCTATCTATCCATCCATCCATTCTCTATTGGTCGATCTGTCCATTCGTCCATCCATCCATCCATCCAATGTTTGTTTAATCTCCATCCATCTATTCCATCCATCTATCTATCTATCTATCTATCTATCTATCTATCTATCTATCTATCTATCTATCTATCTATCTATCTATCTATCTATCTATCTATCTATCGATCGATATAACTATTGTTCTATCTATTGTTTTGTCTTCATAATTCCATCCATCTGTTCTATCTCCATCTATCTATTCTAATATTCTATCCATCTATTGTTCTATTCATTTATCTATCCATCTATCTATATATCTATCTATACATCTATCTATATATCTTTAGAACTATTGTTCTATCTATTGTTTTGTCTATCATTCCATCCATCCACCCGTTCTATCTCCATCTATTTATTCTAACATTCTATCCATCTATTGTTCTATCCATTTATCTATCCATCTATCTATCTATCTATCTATCTATCTATAGATATAACTATTGTTCTATCTATTGTTTTGTCTTCATAATTCCATCCATCTGTTCTATCTCCATCTATCTATTCTAATATTCTATCCATCTATTGTTCTATTCATTTATCTATCCATCTATCTATATATCTATCTATACATCTATCTATATATCTTTAGAACTATTGTTCTATCTATTGTTTTGTCTATCATTCCATCCATCCACCCGTTCTATCTCCATCTATTTATTCTAACATTCTATCCATCTATTGTTCTATCCATTTATCTATCCATCTATCTATCTATCTCCTTCCATCTATATAACTATTGTTCTGTCTATTGTTCTATCCATCCATCCGTTCTATCTCCATCTATCTATTCTAATATTCTATCCATCTATTGTTCTATCCATTTATCTATCTATCTCCTTCCATCTATATAACTATTGTTCTGTCTATTGTTCTATCCATCCATCCGTTCTATCTCCATCTATCTATTCTAACATTCTACCCATCTATTGTTCTACCCATCCATCGTTCTGTCTGTGTGATCTATCGATTGTTTATTCTTTCTATCTCCATTTATTCGATCATTCTAACTATTCTATCGTTCCATCCATTCATCCATCAATCGATCATTCCATGCATCCCTTAATGCTGTATAGATACAGAAGAATTGAAAGTACATAAGGCCAAATACAAACTTAAAGACTTTTTAAATATACTTTAAGCAATCTTTCCTTTTCTAGTTATTGATTTTTTTGTAAGTATTTGGTTAAGTTTGCATTATTTTGGGGCATTCTGATTCTTGTATACTAAGCAAAGCGTTGAACACACTAGGAGAAAATCAGATACTTATATCTGGGGTAGCCCCAAGCCTGCATGTCTTAAAGCATTTAATAAAGTTTAAATGAACAGCTCAGCCACCTTTAACTACTTCTCACAGGCCAAGCGGTTTCTATGAGCGTGGTCTTGCAGTAGATCTGGGCTTGAGGCCAGTGGCTGCTTTTCCCTTTGGAGAATTTGAGCCGCAGGCAGGGAGCAATCCTCTGCTGCTCAGCGCTATTTATGGCCAGCGTGCTTTTGTGTCTTGTCATCGTTGTCCACAAATGGCAAAACTGAACATGCTTCCAAAGAGCTACAAAAAGGACACTGGTGGACAGGCTGGCCAGCGGTTATAAAGAGTGTTTGTCACTCTTGAATGAAGTAGCACAAATGAAAGGAAGGTCTCTGTTTCAGTAAAAAACTGCTCTCAAATATCACACAAGTAAAAAAACAATGTCAGATTGTCACAAATCTAATCCATGAAACCCCCACTGTATAAAAGCTTTCAGGAAAGTGCTGGCCTTCATCTGTGCGGTTGATTATAGTTCAGTTATGCACACATGTCCACATTGATATCTTCTCTGGGAACTTTCTAGTAATGGTTATGAAACTAGTTCTCAGTGCATGTAGGCTCATATTGCAGATGACTGATCTGGTCGGATAGAGTTAAACTCATACTGGTTTTTCAATGGCCAAAGACAATATCTAGAGAGAAGAAAGACTGACGGCTGATATGCCAATATATTACATTTTAATGATAGCAAATGTGATGTACACAAAATAAACACTTATTTTTACTAAATGTTTATTAAATTAGACTATATATTATAGTCTTTATGTATGTTTATTGTTTTGGAACTGACACACAGGTTATCAATGCAACCGTCTCAAAATGCCCAAATATCAGCCAGTTAATTGGCCTGGCTGAAATATTGATCGGTTTCAGAAAACAGCTTTCGATTAATAAACTCTTGCACAAACATCTCTTAAGCTACACTATCGTTGACAAGATAGTGTTTGGTAGGATTAAAAATATATATATATTTGAAAGAAGTCTCATGCTCACTAAGGCTGCATTTTTATTTGATCAAAAATACAGTAAAAAAAACCCAGTAATATTGTGAAAGATTACAATTTTAAATAACTGTTATGTATGCAATTTATTCCTGTGATGTCAAAGCTGAATTTTCAGCATCATTACTCCGGTCTTTAGGGTCACATGATCCTTCAGAAATCATATAATATGCTGCTCAAGAAACATTCCAGTTCCAGTTTATTCCAGTTCAGTTTAATGAATAGAATGTTTATTTGCAATAAAAATCTTTTGTAACATTATAAAATGCATTTACTGTCCCTTTTGATCAATTGAATGCATCCTTGTGGCACAAAAGTATTAATATTAAACATCTTACTGACCCCAAACGTTTGAATGGTGGTGTTGTCATAGTTGGCTGCAGCAAGGAAAGAATAGTTGAGGCAGGATATATACGCAGCAGTCACTTTATTTAACAATAACCCAAAACAAAAAAAACATCCAGGAGCAAAGCCAGAGGTACAAAGAGTACCTAAAACCATACCCGAGTAAAATCTTACAACTCCATTACAAGTCATTAATTCCAATACGATTGAGTAAAAGTCTTAGAGTATCTGATTTGAACAGTACTAAAGTATTTTACTCGCACTGAATGTAGGCTCAAAGATGCACTATAGTGCTCAACACCTAAGAGTTTATTTTCTAAAATCGAAATAAAACGTTAAGCAATATTAAATATTCCAAGCCTGCTTGCACTGGACACTGTTTCCACTGCAGTCATGTCCTCACCTCATAACCTGTGATTCAGCAACTACCAGCTAATGAACTAACGTTCATGTAAAGTAGCCTTGTTGACAAGTTTGGGTAAGGGCAAAACGCACAAAGATATAGTACCTCCAATGTCCTGTAGATGGCAATATCATTTTTGTAGCAGAAATAAACTGCTGCAGTAAAAGTTAGGTACCATGCAAAATGTAACGAGTTATTGCATCACTTGTCACAAATGTATTGAGTAAAGAGTACATACTTATTCAAAAATATAGTCAAGCAAAGAGTAAAAGTTGCAAATATCTTTGATATTTAGTAAAACTACAAAGTAGCCGAAAAGACACTTACATACAGTAACTAATTAAATTTACTCAAATACTTTACACCACTGAGCACAGGTGAACACAGGAGAATCACTACCAACTAAAAGTAAACAGACAAACAATGACTCAAACTGAGGGCTATAAATACACAGAGTAACTAAAGAGCTAAACAAGGAGCAGGTGGATCAAATCAATGAAACTATAAGTAACCATAGCAACAAACGAACAAGCCTAGAAGCAATGGAAGTAAAAAAAATTTACCATTTACGCGACACCGTATTCAATTAAAACCTGGAAGGTTTTTATGGGTTTACAGGACAACTGTGTTTCGGGGACCTGAAAACGATACAGTTATCGTTTCTATGTAAACTACAAAAACGTGAATTTGTGAAAACGGTGATGTCATGCGCATGCGTGTAACGTGTTCAGTCTAGGCGCCTAGTGTTTCTTTACAAAGTGACATCGCCAACTACTGGCCTGGCACCAGAATACAGCGTTTTTAGTTGTTTTCGCAGATCCGTGTGAATGGAGATCGCTTTGATAAAGCTGTTGCCTGCATGCGTTTTTAGTACATCGCTGTCGTGTAAACATACCCTAAAAGTCCAGGAAAACTAAACAGAGACCAAAACTGAATGTTACAGGTGTATTATTTAGATATCACAAGGTGATCAATAAAATGTTGTCCTATCCCTAACCCTACCTATAACTTATCAATTAAATTAGAGGGAATTGATAGGTGAATACTGATGTAAAGCACTAAACCCTGGTTTTAAGCCTAAACTTGACATTAACTGTAAACTTGT